TTAAGGCTAAGGGTGGGCCAACACCCTATTGAATTCCAGCATTACCGATGGAGGACGCCACGAACTGGTAAGCCATTTTCAGCCACGTGTCCGGATACTTTCGATCACATAGTTTACGTGAAATTTTAAAAAAATCAAAATAATACATCAAAATGGCGTTTATGTCATGTTATTGAGTGATTATGTTACCAACCGAAAAAAAGTATGGAGTAATTTCTCAGAATTCCTTGTTTTTAATATTGGCCATCACTCACTCACAATGTCGCTTAAAATTGCGCAGGTCTTATTTTCGTTAAAATTGCTAAATCTTAAAAAATTGCAAAAGTTCAATTTTTGTTCGACCACCAATTTTTTTCCAATTTTGGTAAATTTTTCCTCAAATAGAGATTTAAACGATTAAGTAATGACGCAGGACCCGTATTTTCGCAGGGAACTCCGCATTTTCGAAAATTTCAAAAAATTAAATGTCTAAGTACAATATTGATGATAGATAATTTCCTTAAATGAAATTAGTTCTAAAAATTGACGAAATCTGTACTTTAAAACTAGATCTTGAATATCTTGAAAACTAGATCTTTGAATATTTTGAAAAATGCAAATGCAAATATTATACTTTTTACCGCCGAGGTTACGTTTAGTTTAGGCTCTTGCAGTAAGGGTAACGTGACTGACGAATTAATTCAAAGGACCTCAGTTTGAATGCAGTGCAGGGAAGACTTTTTTGCTGGTTGGCAATACTTTTGGTGTACTATTTCGATTTTGCGTAGCATTTATTACAAATGATATGATTACAAGGGGGTGTGGGGCGGAAGTGTATGTGCTGTTGTAGTACCTTTAATTTTGACAGTGAGTGGCCAGCGTCTCGACTGGTGGGCGGCGACAGTTAGGCTCGATATTTTTTGGCTACAACGCTTCCCACGCGGTATCTCCATTTCAATGTGTAGAATGCTGGAATGGCTGCGACTGATCTTGTTGACTGTAGTTCCACTTTGTATTTCTCGTAGATGGGCACTCTTTCGTGCAGAATAAACAATAATCGTAATAAATAATAAGCGAAAACCAAACGCATTTTAAAATAATTATTTAATTTCACATTTTTTGGATAGAATGAATTTTAGTTTTGCTGACAAACCAAAGATTTCTCAATCAATTTCAGTTTTACCTTAAGTAAGCCAAGATTTATTGGAAAAGAATGAAAAAAATCAGAAAAATTTGCGTGGTTTTGGGCGTTTAAAAAATAAAACACCCTATGGTATTGAGATACCCCTCCCCCCAGCGCTACAGAAAGACTCAACCGGACGCTAACAAATCAAACGAGCTCGAGAAGAAACGCCAAGCCTTGCCACCGAATGATATTCGGCTGGTTTAGATGAATTTCAGGATTGTTTGTTAAAGACCACCTGCCATTGTACACCGGTACATAAGGATATATTTAATACATCCTTCTATACCGCAACTTTTCCAGATACGATACCTATTTTTTAAGCAAGCCAAGATTAAGCCGCTCTTCAAAAAAGGCAACAAAAATTAATTTCAAAATTATCTGCCAATTTCTCATTTGTCAGTTTTTTTTTTAAATATTAGACTTGTTTACGTACGAATAGAAACCTATCTCAGTAACCACGACGCGTTTTCAGGTTGCCAGCATGGATTTCGAAATTCAAAATCTACGGAAACAGCTATATTTCCTTTTCTTAAAGATGTCACCTTATCATTCGATCAAAACGAATTAGAATATTTTCATATCTTTCAAAAGCCTTTGACGTCATTGATCAAAACATTTTAATTTCAAAATTACCCTTATATGGAATCCGTGGTATAGCTCTAAACAGGTTATGTTCACACGTGAAACAACGATCTCAGGGAGTTGAAATACCTTACTAGAATGATGAAACTTTATATACACACCTTTCCGACTCTTTGCCAATTGCACGTGCAATCCCGCAGGGATCGATTTTAGGATCTATTCTCTTCCTACTATGCGTATAGGATATGCCCTCGACGATTGGAAACGGAAGAAAGGTTATCTTTCCGGATGATATGAATATTATTTGCAATAAAGAAACAATAATAGTACAATATCAGATGTTTCAAGTTGGTTCCATAATAACAGATTAATAGTACATGAAAAGAAAACGGTTTAATTGCGGTTTTCCATTTCATTTAAATAATACTGTACTCCATTAAAAAATAACTGTCTGCCATTGACTTATGTTTAGGTAACAACATTTTCTCTCAATTCAGTCAAACCTCAAATGGAACGTCCATTTAAATTAATTGAATACAAAATTAAGGTAATTATGCTACGCTTTCAGAAATATTTCAAATTTAGTCACCCTTCATACAGCTCGTTGTGTATATTTCGCGAATGCTCATTCCCGCCTGACATAATATTCTGGGGAATTACATCTCATAGTTCCCAGTCTATTAAATTACAAAAATAATTGTACGATTAATAACCATTTTCTCCAGATCACTACAAAAAAATTCACATACTATTTAATATATTTTACAACAGTTTCCCAAATAACATTAAACGATTGAATTCGATAGAAAAGTTAAACTCCTAAGTAAAATATTTTCTGTTGCATAACTGTTTTTATACAATTAGAGACTATACCGAGCATCAAAGGGAAAGTAACAATAATTTTAACAATGCTATTTAATGTATTATTTACCATTTAGGCTGTATAATTATAAACAACTACTAATAAGTATTGTACCGCAGGTTCTGGGTCAATGACCCACCCCCATCTCGATCAGGTTTATCATCCAGTTTCTCCAATCCTTTGAGCAAATGATGAGATGAGCCATGGTTTTGCTTCTGGACATAAATGTAATTTCATTTTCTCTGCACGTCTTCTAGACTTTAATGGTAAATATTACACGATAGTTATTCAAATTATTCCTTATTTATTTATAGAAGTATTATTCCTTCACGAAGGACATGATGAGGGATAAGAGTCCAAATTTATAGCTGATTTACCATAGAAAATATATTTTATTTCCTCGGAGCGAATATTTTATTAACAATCCTAGCTAAAAACGTTTTTCTGTATTCGAAATTCAACTAGTTTATGGCATAGGGTAGGGATCACAAAAACTTGAAAACGTGTAAAGCATTTACTTCTCCCTGTAACACGTCACACACAGTTTTTTAATTTGTTTTTTTTACGTAAATAAATAAATAAATAAATAAATAAATAAATAAATAAATAAATAAATAAATAAATAAACAAACAAACAATTACGGCAAGTGTTTGCGTGAAAGATGGAGCGAGAGAACAAGCAACAAGTGTGCGCCTGTCAACTTGAAGCGGTCTAAAAAATCACTTTCTAGGAAATTATCGCAAGGTCAACTTAGAAAGGTTTCTCTGTGCTATATTTTTAACTGCTACATTTACAATATAAAATAACATTTTCTTTCTTCCTCATATCTACTACGTAGGAAGAGAAAATCAAGTAAAGTGCAACAAAAAAATCCCAAATTTGAAATCTGCACCACCAGAGGGAGCGAATAGAACCGATCCAAACTATTATATTCAAATTCGGAGATAAGTAATTTCCGACTATTCATAATCACTCAATTATATTGAAATACAATTTGTCTGTGAGTAAAAAAACACTAAAATTGAAGCTTAATGTTTTGGTGGTGGAAAGAACGGTTAACTTTGCATTCAGAGAAAGCTCGGGGTGAAACCGGGAAGGCAGTTTCCGCGCGCGCAGAGATGGCAAAAAACATCGCGGTTTGTAAAACATCAATAGTTCCCATCAGAAACATCCATATATTAATATCGATGTTTTGTTTTGGATGTTTTTTACAGATTGATATATTTTCCCAGAAACATCGATGTGTTTTAAAAACGGGTTATGTTATCTTTTTCGATGATTTTGTACGTGGTAATGTATTTATTTCCTTCTTTACAATAGATAAACATCATTAACATACCACTTGTACGTGACCAAGCAATAAAATATACCGGTATTTCATTTAAAAACTCTAATTAAAAATGGAAACAGAATGGGAAAATACCATCTGTTTTATTAAATTTAAAACATCGATTATTTAATAATAGATTTTTTGTCGATATTTTCATTGACATCGAAAAAAATTTGGTAATGTAACAAAATATCGATTTTTTTGATAAAATTTGCGATCACTACGCGCACGTGTCTATTGCGAATCTCGGAGGCCTTGGGTAAGAGGCGACCAGAATTCGGTTACCGTCGGTCACCGTCGGTAACTATTCATACTGTTACCGTCGGTCACCGTCGGTTACCGTCAGTTGCCGTTGGTCATCGCCCGGGTATCACGCAATGACGCTCTCTCGTAGCGCTTAGAATGGATTCGGAAAATCCATAAAGCATTAGAACTCATGAAACTACCCATTCGAGCATCACTTTTTCCGTAACAAAATTATCAGTGAGAAAATAACATTCATACCATGCAACATCAGAAAAAAAGTCAAGAAATTTTAATGGAAGACGAATCTGGAAAGAGTGCGTAAATTTAGTACACCTTTATGAATAAACAAAATATAACCTTATTACAAGATGTTCCCATTAAAATTCTGATTTAATTTTGCTAATATGAACTGACATGTTCAGTAAAAATTATAAACAATTACATTTAGATACTATATTTCAAAAAATATATGATTGATTGCATTTCGCGAAGTTACATTTAATTTTAAATGACCTTTGAATGAAATCATTAAACTAATGAGAAAGGAAATTGTATTACATACTAATTCAATAGAGTAGTGTTGGTAGCCAACTGCTAGGCGCCATGCAGTGTGTCGGACGCGGGCGCTTGTTTTTCCATCAAATGCAAAGCTCTAGTTTATACAGATTAAGAAACCTCTTGAACCAAAATTATAAGACTTTTTATTTACATTTTCGTTAATTTCGTGCTTAATATTGACTTGTTAATATAAGACGACGTATTTCAAATAATTTGCATTTGAGAGGTATGTTAAAATATGTTATACATGACGTACCTTTTTCTTTTGACTTCCTAAACAGAATGTACAAACAGAGGTTCGTGAACCTCCTGAATAATGATTTCCTTGAGAATATTCACTGGCACTTGAAATGCTGCCTCGTAAACATGGCTGTTCAACAGGTCCTATAAAAAAGAAATAGAATAACTTTATACATACTGTAACGTTCCTCCTATTCACGATTATCTTGCACCGCGTTGGGCAGACATTTTGTAATATTTCTATCTTCTCAATTATTTATCTCTTCATTAATTACTTTATTTATCCAAATATCTTTTTCTTAAACCTCTTTGTGGCGACCATTTCTAATTAGTTTAATTTCAATAATATTATTTTATATTAATCATTTCAATAATATTGATGTCGTAGGCTGCCGCGGTCAGAGTTGAGTTCTTGGCTATCGGGGTGTTGCTGCGTTGAATACTTGGTTGCCGACGCGTCAACCATCTTCTCGTGGTCTTCATCAGACTTCATCAATACTGGCCTCTTCTCAGATCTTCATCTACTCTGTTCGCGGAAGCCTACGACTTCACTTAACTCGCCTCTACGGGGAGGAAATTCTAAATCTGCAGACAACCCAGATGAAGACCACGAGAAGATGCTCGAAACGTCTTCAACCCGGCATCACGCGGACAGCCAAGAACTCATCTCAATAATATTATTTATTTCAATGCCCTGCTATGCACGTAGATTACTGCTCCAATGGTTTCTAATTTGGCTAGCTCTGTTTTTTTAAGATATTGCATGCGTTCGGCGCACAATATACATCACCTTACCCGTTGTACGTGAATGTGACTATACAGAAATCACGATTCCTGGAAATTCTGTGGAATTTACTAATTACTGAACTGATGACAGTTCAATGAAATGTCAGCTTTTTCTTTTCAATAACAATTAACATTTATTGCAAAATTCTTATGACATAATATGAGCTCATTATTAATCAATGGTTCTATGGATTTGAAACATTACTAAACCGTACGGCTTTGCTAAAGTTCGTAAGCTTACGGAATGTCTCAGTCGATTTGATGCCGCCGTCTTCTCCAGAAGGGGATGTTTTGGGTCATCCTGTGGTGTAGTTGTTATGCATATCGTCCGTGTAAACTTTAAATGTTTCCCGGCTGTTTCTAACTATTCAGTCCCCTATTCGGTAATTTGCTTCAATGTTATCGCGGAATGCGTGTCCTCGATTTTCAAAGTCCTCTTCTCATCAGTTCCATATTAATGCCACCAGGCCGTGCCGTCCCTCGACAATACTATTTGCGCTTGGTGCATCCAGTACAGCACGCCTACATATTTATTAGTTCGTTGCTATGCATTCCTTCGATTCTAAATCACCGGTTCCTTGGACAGCAAAATTCCGTCGTACATGTATGCTTTATGTCATTTCCTTATTACATCCGTGTCTTTTGGGTATGTCACAATACTCAACTTCATTTACAAGAATGCCATTTAGAACGTTATGAGTAGCGACGTGTCCCCTCTTCTTATGAAATATCTTATCTTGAGAAGTATTCAACCATTATCCGAAATTTTTCAATCTATCCATTATACTAAATTCCAATGCACGCAAAAATTGAAAGAAACTACACGGATGTCCCTTAATACCCGCACACAGAATACCATAGTGATCAGAAGTCTGAGAAACATACAGACACCCAATATTACACATTTCGACACACTGGTTTACGCACGTCCTCCTACATAACTCGATGGTTAGTCGTCCTTCGGGCAAGACCCCGATCACTGTTTGTGGGCTCGTCCTCTGCTGCTTGCAAATCTGCCACTTCGGTAGAACCAGAACGACGGCGAGGACTTCGGCACTTGGTCGCGGAAGCAGTCCGCCATTGAGGTACCGCAACACGTTGCACGTCGGATGCTAGCGAGTGGAATATCAAGCGGCGCACAGTAACGCTGGCATTTCCGGGCGTTGCCCCAACATTAAGTACACATGACGATACTCGTCTGTAGTACTCGTCTCGATTTTCGCCACTTCACCCAGTTGCTCGCTTGGAACTGATTCTAGTACACCAGCGCAACATTGACCCCGACATCGTCAAGGTGCGTGCCAAAAGACCGCGGGTTCGAGTCCCGCCTCGGGCTTGGGTGTATTTGTGTGTGCCGTCTCTCACTATCAACATTATTACATCGTCCATACCCCCAGGGCTAACAACCTTGGGGGATAAAAGTCGGCATTCAGCTAAAATACTGACGCCCCCCCCCCCTAGATAATGGTACTTGCATTTGCTGAAGCAGGATGCACGCGTGGTCCGAGTTGGCCTATACGCGAAAAAAATTATACTACCGCTCAATTCGTCATTTTTTCAATTCCGTTCTCACGTTATTTAATCGAGAGAATATTGGATGGAGTTGGACGATATGGAACGTCAGAACAAGTCAACGGATGAGCGGATGATTGAGTAGAATTTCGGACAAAGTTACATCTCAAAATTATATCAGGGCTTCCGTTACATTTTATACCTTGCGCTGCTATTTACAGTCAAGGTCATAACGCCAGCGAGGTTATAGTGTTCCCGAGACGACGTTAGCTGAAGCAAAATACAATAAATGATAGGAATCGTTATAATTTTTAAGTAGGAATCTTCAACAAAAAAGTAATGAATTGTGAATAAGAATTTTCATTAAATGTGCACTTTCATGAAAAGAACATATTGAAATAGAAATTGGTTAGTAGCTGTGAAAATCAATATTCATTTAAAAGTCGAATGTAAACTACAGTAACATCTAAGCCGGAATCTATCAGGACACAATACTTTCCGGTTTAGGGAGGTTTCCGTTTTATGCAAGGTTGTCACTTTGACACTTATGATATTGACGTTTCTGCCCTGAAAGTAGTAGAGATAAATTACATGACTTTATTATAATTATCAAAATATATTAATATATAACGTATTGATGGAAAAAAACAATAATTGAGTATTAAATACTCTTCGTTAACAGCTTATTAATTGAAGAATGAACGCCTTACCGGCTAAATTCGGACAGCTCGGAGTCTTTCAATGCAGAATAGATCACAACCCAGTACTATGACATTCTGATAATCTCGCATGGACTAGAGCACTGCGAATCTGGACAAGGGGTAATGATTTTCATCGCGAGGCAGGATGACGCGTGAATAGAAGCCATGCCGGTGCACCTTCGCACGTTCAGAGAGTCGGGAGAGAGGGAAGTGCCCGATGGCCTACGCCTTACGAGACAAACGACCCAAAGTACCCACGACTAAATCGAGTGTCACATGGATAAAGAATTTAAATCAAGCTTGCAGATGCACCCATTTCATTACCAACATCTCGCGTTTCTCTGCCAAAATATTAAATTCACAGGAATTCTGCGTTGGAGAGGTTCTGTTGGAGAAATTTTCCGATTAAGGCAGGTTTTCGGCTTTCACAGGCTTCGGTTTAGACAGATTTTACTGTATAAGTACTTAGCCAAGACTACATTCAAGAAAACAATTTTGAAAGCAAAAAATAATATCCATTGTAAATATGTACATTAGATTTTATTCATTTACGTAGGGTTAGATAATTTTTTATGGTGTGATAGTTCAAGAATTGTGTATTTGTATAATTTCTCTGAATGTGAATTTTTTCTTGTGCATGTGCTTTTGATGTTTTTCTATTGACATAGTATTTATTTTTCAGCTATTTTAATTGTGTTTAACGCATTCTGTGTAATGCTTGCGAGACAATGAAGGTCGAAAAATTGCAAATACAAATCGAGTTGAATTGTTAACAACATAAACCAAGGACTGAATGAATTGGAAACCTAGAAAGAAATCCATTTAAGAAGAGCTGATGTATGACAGAAAACGTTGCAGGAGGAATTAATGTGCTCAGAAGCAAGAAGAAGAGGCTATTGCTAGGGTAATTCAAAATAATATACCAGTGCCAAACATAGCCAGCAATATGATATATTACAAAAGTTAACTTACAGTTCATTTACCTAATATTCCCATTTGAGCTACAGGAGAACCTGGGTTTGGTAGTGATGATGAGACCGGCAAAGAAAGGGGCAGTTGAAGTAGAGCCAGTGTAACATCACTTCATCTTTTATAGACTTTTTCTCATGTAAAACAATATAACGTATACTGCGATTCGTGTGCTGCCCAAAACGAAATTTGTACTGTATTGAAATACATCCTCTAGTGGTATAACGTTCGGGCTCACAAGGCCCGCGATGCAGGAGGCCCCAAGTAAAAGAGGGCCTATTTTTAGTGGATATTTTAATTATTTACGGTACTAACACTACTTGTGTTTGCTGTACACTTTTATAAACGGGGCCAGGATTACCTTTTATGGGTGGGCTCGCATTCATTACCGTTTCGCTACTGGCATCCACTATGTTGTCACTCTTTTTGCCAGCGATTGAAAAGAATCACCGTGGCATTTTCCTATAGAGGATTCTCATATCTTGAATGTGACAGAAACATGGGATTAATTTTACGAACTTCTATAACAGAAATTCCTAAAGTATTGCATGAAGTAATATGCCAGAGTAGAAATAAACCAAGTCCTTTCAGAGGTTTTTTTAAAACTAGTGGTGCTACAACTGCTCACACTTTCTCGCACTTAATAATGATTACGTAATACTATTTATACCGCAATTTCTCTTCGAATTAACACATCTCAGTCATATTTTTTTTTGTAAAATTCAAATTTTCAAAGAAATTTTACATGCCCATATTTCCATATCTATCTTTAAGGAACAGTAAAGGAAAAAATATCTATCTTTAATATTTTAGTTACAGGAAGATTACGAAAAAAATGTTACCGATTGCAATTTTCAAAAAATCAGTATATTCAACGAACATGAAACCTGCACCATTCTCTTAAACGTCTTCCAGACTCTCCAATCACAAAGTTTAATAAAAACGTTAGAGCCTTTATTTTTGTTGAAAATTTTGAAAATATCCCAGGGACTTCGTGTAAAGAACTCCCCCAAATTAAAATTTCGCTCTCAAATTTAAAGGGCCGCGATGCCAGTCAGATCTATAGAGAAATATCAATTTTGGTGGAAACCGGCTGAACGGTTTAGCCGCTAGCGTTGTTCAGACGGGACGGACGTTTTGCCGTCAATCGATTTAACGATATCAAGAACACCCAAAACATGGAGTCTATCTTCACCACGTGTTAGAGGATTTTTGTTTCTAAGTTTAGTAACGGGGTTTATCCACATTCACTTACCAGGGCCCTGTAATAAGAGATTTCTGCCGAAAATTCGCCGTTTTTTTTGCGCAGTATTACATAACTTTCTCTCTGCTGTGTAAGTCGTAGCGAGAAAGAAAAAAATGGTCTGCATTTATTTCTTCTGATAGATTATAAAAAGAGAGTTATGTGTCCCCTCCAGACCTCTCAAGGAATGGAAAGTAGAAATTCAGCAGACATGTGTCATGTCGTTAAGATCTGGAAGTTATAGTAGTTCCTATGAGACAGTTGCCACCTTTAAGGATAAACAAGAAAATTCAACAGCAAAGCAAAGGAGGGAATTTATCCTTCTTCTTACAGCGGCGTCCTACTTATTTCATTAATGAAATGGAAAAATGTCAGGAAGTTGCCAAGGCTTCTGACAAAAGAATCAAAGTGTAAGAATATTTCACGTACTGAATAATTTCGGAAGATAAAGATACAATCGCATACAAGATAAAATAACTTCCTATTATTCTAGATACATTTGGTATTTTTTTTAAATCTTCACTTTTGTTGTTTTCTGGGATTGTATAGTTTCAATATTTTTGAAAAGAAATAAGAATCAGATGAATTATCATCAATATTCCAAATTTTCTGTTTTTATTAAGGTTTCATTGTTTTAACTATTCCACTATTGTAACAAAGAAAATTATGAAAGATGATAAAAACATTGTTAGAGCATACATAATTTTTTCATAGAATTTCTTTTTTTTCTTTTGAGCGTTTTAAAATATTATTAATAAAGGATTTATGACTTTAAAACATAATTCTCTCAGAACATTGGAAATGTAACTTTTAACTTGATTCGTCCGTGTCTTCGAATATCGTCGCGTCGTAGCAACTGTGCGGTCGCGAGCTACTCGGTGAGGCAGGCGGGGCGAACGCGGCCGCACGAGACTTTTTTGGGTCATATGAATAAAAATGAGTACTTGCTCATGAGTACTTGCTCCGGAGCAAAATGAGTCTACTCCGCGGCACTGAGCAGAAGCTCCATTTCGTATGAATAAAAACTTCGTATGTCTCCGAAGAACTTACTCATGTCTCGCGAGATTGCTCGTCGCTTACATTTGCTCGTCGTGAACAAGTGATAGTGCAGGCTAAGAGTTTTAAAAATTGGGTTCTTGACATAGAGGTAGTAAGAAGACACAGCCATGCGCGTAGGAGGGGCTTGGTTCTTGAGCAACAAAGAGGTTACATACGTTACGCGCGTCGCGCACATTTGTGCGGAATAAAGAGCAATAGTTTGTTGTCTCATTCTTTAAATTCGAATATGAATAGCAGTAAGGAAAAACAGGCGCTAGTGGCCCAGCTAATTTTTACCGAAATTCTAAGTGAATATAAAATTATTTTTGAAAAGAGCCAGCTTTCGGAAGTACGCTGTGGCTGAAACGAAACATTACAAAGTTTCAAAAAACAGTACCCCGAAAAATTCCAAATAGAAAAGAGCGATGGCCAATTAACATAGAAGATATGCAATATTTAAACGCGCCTGAAAGCAAACGCTGATAAAAATCGTACCAACCATACATTGTACTTTTCGATTCGACAAAGATAGTAATAGTCTACATCACGAGAATTTCGCCTAATCTTGCATTTTTTTAATCCGCTGCATATGCATATCAACACACGGTAAAAAATCGGCCAATTTAACCTTTCTTTTCAAATGTGAGTCTGCTACTAAGGTCCCTCCGAAATTTTGGAGCAAGTGCTCACTCTAGAGAGTAAACGCTTAACTTTATTCATACTAATTCTGAGCATTTGCTCGCCAGTTGAGAGGACGCTCAGAGTTGAAGCAAGTACTCAGAGACTGAGCAATTGCGTACCGACTTTATTCATACGAAACTGAGTAAGATCTCGGAAACTCGGAGCAAAGAGTACTTGCTTACTTTTATTCATACCACCCAAAGGGTCTCTGCCTGCCTCGGATGGCCGGCGCTCCTGCGCGCACAGTCGACTTCTTCGGTGCCGTTCGCATCCAGGACGCGCAAGACACAAGCACAAAAGCTGGTCGAAATGCCACGAATGTGATGCTTTATTCAAATACATGTTTACCTTTTCTATCAAACAAGTTTTGAATAATGGTTATGTCCCTAATCTATAACTTAGTGCTACATATCAAGTCCCTTTTGTTTTTAAATGATGCCTTTAATCATTTTCGCAAAGGGGCAGGAATATGTTTGAACTGAAAATTATTTCCTAGTTTTCTTTTGTTATGATTTATTAAATTATTCTGTTATTTGTTGTTACCAACGATGATGTGAAATAAATCTGTGAAGCCGATGTCCTTTAGTAAAACTGCCTCTTAGATTTATTATATGACTGTTACGGACGGGTAGTTCTTTTAGAAGACAAGGATTTTCGTTACTAACCTGAACGTCGGAAGTTAATGAGCTTGTTGGAATTTTACGTTAACGCAATTACGAAACCAAAATCCTTTTGATTCAAAATGTTTACTAATTTCAAAAATGACCTATGTATTTTATTTTTATTTTTTTACCTCATTAGAGGTAATGGAAATTGATGTCGCTACGTTTGGGGCGATAACTATCAACTGACATCTCCAATGTTTTGGGAATGACGGACGGCATCCGGTGACGAAACGGCATCTCGGATCAAATAAAATAAACGGACTTAGAAAACTGGCGGCAGTTCCTTTGGACGCAGTGTCTGTAGCGGCTAGTTTCCTTGCCTGTCATCAAAAGGTATTATATCATCCATCATGAGCGACAATAGCCTCAAGAAATGAAGGGCCTATGAACGTAAATGAATAATATATTTAAAAATAGTGTGTACTACCCTATACCTATTCAGACGGGTAAAACTTTGTGAACAGAGCATATTTAAATTTGGAAATGAAAAACAAAATTTAAAAAGTAATAGCTTTTAGCACTTCCTATATTTAGGTAACAGGTAAGTTACAAATCACGATGAAAACATACCAGCTAGTAATTGTGTGCCAAGATGAGATATGTAACTCGATGCAAGTCGCAGTGTTTCTATCTTTGATAATTTGCGATCAGCAGGCTCTGTTGGAATCAGCATTCGGAGAGTCATGAATGCTGAATTAACACTGAAAGAAAGAAATAACACGTGTTATTATTTAAATATGAAAATTTAAATATGAAAATTTACATACAAGTGCTTTTAGTTAATTATAATAAAATGGAAAGTTCTTTAAACTGATGATCTGTGGCACAAAACACATAAGGAAGTTCTGAATAATACAATTATTTTCTAAAATACCCGTATATTACCTCAAATAACAAATCAATACTGATCAAATTATGAAATGTTCGTTCCCAATAGTATCAACCAAAGTATGATGTGTTCAAGAAAAAGACTGATATCAGCAAATTACTATTACATGACTCCGAAATCCATGTTTGTTATGGAGCCTGCAATAACAAGCAGCTTAGGAGGGCCAGGAGGTGGAAGTCATTAACTCATAATTCATAGTTAAGGGACGTAGGACTCTGGACAATTTTGAAGGAGGTATGAATACAAACATTCTGGGGCGGTGCTTTAAAATTAGGCAGCAACTTTTGAATGTTTAATTTAAAAGAACTTCCGAATACGTCAGTCCATAAGAATAACTAACCACCTAATATCCTATATTCTATGGTTACTTACAAAATAGGTGTCGCCAGTCATGCATTTGTCATATACAGACGAGGATGTTGCTTTGGGAGGCTCTACCATTTATTTCTAACATTGATATCACTTCAAATATGCCTCGCCGACCACGTTTCTTGCCTCTAAATGGTCAGTAAGACTACCTTCACGCCCTGCTTAATTTTGGCAACTTCTGTATAACTGCAATCGGTCCATTTAAACTTAAAGAGGCACAAATCCATTTTAATTTAGTTTTTTGTTATTCATAATTTTCAGTTTAGAGTATTGGAATGCATCACACAGGAGCAACACACAATATAAACTTACTAATAATATACACTTAAGCATTAGAAATGAGGACTCATTTAGAATATCGATATACAATAAAATCTTGGCTGTAACTACTAACAGGCTGAGGCGGTTGAGGGCATTAACTGATGACACAGTAGGGTCTCTGACCTGACGGTCCTGGGGTTCGACTCCGAACTATGGCAGGATTTTCAACCCTAGATAGATTGCGAGATCGAATTTCGTTGTCGTCTGGAGGAGAATTCTAGTGGCTGGCTACTCTCATCGTCAGTTTTCCGTGATTCCTCCGATCAGGCGAATGGTGGAGCAATACCCTAACAGGCGGGCGACGGCCGGACATGTCAGATCGCCGGGAAATTCGAGCCTCTCCGTCCAGCCTAAGGAACTCGACTCCTAGGCCCTTCCGGCCACCGGCACTGCAAGTGACATCAGTTGATGGCCTGAGCCACCTTAGCCGGTGTGCTTTTTTTATTAACTTCGGTCAACAACACCAGGAGAATGTAGTAAACGAGGGCGTTCAACTGATTATATTGAAACAAATGCCTTAAAGTAAATTTGTTCTTTCAACGAGAGCAATGATGATAGACAATGTTCACTTTCTGAATGATTATAGCAAGTAAGTGAACCCATTCCCGTTGACTATCAAAGCGAAAGTAAAGAAAATTAATGGGTTCAGAATGATTTTTAAAGAGACACGAGGTTTCTACAGAGTTTTACTGATGTAAGGATGAAAATTCTAAATAATGCAAGGCATAATAACAGAATGAATAATGAAGGACAGGCGTTGCTCTGGATTGTAACAGTTTCTGCTGCTGTAATTAGACACGTTGTTCACAAATATATTTTTGAAGAGACATCTTATACCTTTGGTGATGACTTTAAGGGCTCCAAATATTGTCTTCTGCCTATTTTATGCATTTTCATTCAAGATTTTAGAAAAATGAAACAGGAAATGTTTTAATTGGCGAAGTTCATGTCTTCACTATCAGATTACGGTGTTTCGACCCTTGTATATTCAGTGGCAAAGCGTGAGGTTAATTTTTGGAGAAGATGAGTCACGAACATATTGTAAACACATATACTTAATTTGTAAAGCTCGATCTCAGAAGACTAAAAATATCTTCTTCTTGCCGTTTTCTTAGCCGCTACTTCGGTCTTCCGGCGCATAATCTTCTTCTCCAGTCTTCCCTGTTCTTCCAAGAATCAGGAGGTAATGTCCACTTCTCGATTATTTTTCTGATCTTGTCGTTCCATACTGGTCTTGGTCTGCCACGTTTTCTCCTTTCACTTGGTATCCATTCTATGGATCTTCTGGGTAACCTTCTCTCGTCCATTCGCTGTACATGTCCAAAACAAGTGAGTCGTTTCTTTTCAATTTCCTCTATAATATTATGTTGCAGATTCATTATTTCTTTAACCTGTTCATTCCTAATTCTTTCCCTTCTAGATATTATTGCAGCTCTTCTGAGGAAATCCATTTCCAAAGCTCTCAGTTTTCTTTTTTGTTGTTCTGAGAGCTGCTATATTTCTGCTCCATACAAAGTAACACCCTCAATCATACATTTATATATTCTAATTTTCGTTTTTTGCTTATATTTGAATCCCAGATAACTGCATTCAGGGCTCCTAATTTTTTTCTTCATTTAATGAGTCGGGTTTCACATTCCTTTCCATAAAAACCCTGTTTTCATATTGTTGTTCCCAAGTACTTTATGTCCTTTGTTGTGCTTATTATTTCTCCAGTTTTCAAAGTCAATACGTCATGTGCACTGCCTAAAGTCCTGTAAACTGTTTTTTTTTTCTAGATTGAGGCTTAGTCCCCATTTCTCTTCATCTTATTTTATCTTCCTAGTCATATATTCAATATCTTCTTGTTCTTGCGCCATCAGCACCTGATCATCAGCGAACTGTACGGTATAAAGTGTTGTATTACCATCAAGTGGTATTCCCATCCCAGCACATTTTCTTTCACCTTGTATCCTTCTTCTATTAATTCTCTTAATATTCTTCCATATACCTTACTGAACGGGTATGTCACTGCTATCCCTCTATAATTTCCACAAATGCCTTCTCTTCCTTTCTTATATAATGGTCTTGTATAAGTCATTTTCCAGTCTTCTGGTATATCACCTTTACTTATACACATATTCATTAGCTTCGTCATCATTCGCACTAGCTTTGGTGTTCCATTCTTTATCAGTTCGCGTGGGATTTCTCCTGGACCCGGAGCTTTACCGACTTTCATTTCTTTGATTCATCTCTTAACTCTCTCTTCGGTTACTGTAATATCCCTTGCCGGAGATATTTTTTCTCTTTCTGTAGTTCCAAGAAAATCTGATCTTCCTTCATTTAAAAATTTTTTGAAGTACTCTTCCCATTTGCTTACAGATATACTTTGAATGCGGATTTTTTCCATTTGGTGAGATTTTACCTCTTTTATGAACTTCCAAATCTCACTTGTTTTTGTTCCACCTATGTACATTTCTACGTCTTGGCATTTACGCTCCCATGATTGTTGTTTTTCTTTTCTTATGATTTTTCTAACTCTATTTCGTTGTATTTTATTTTCCTCTCTATTTTCTTCTTTCTTGGTACTCAGCCATTTTTCATTCAGTCTCTACTTCTCCTCTATTTCCCGCTCCAGGTCTTGAGTAATCCAATAGCTCTTCCCTCTCCTTTTCTTATTTAAAGGTATTTCACCGAGCGCTTCTTTAGTCGCTTGATGTAGACAGTCTTTGAGGTGTTCATATGTCTCCTCATTTGATCCAACTAAGTTTTCATTCAGTAAATTATCCAATCTGTTTTGAAATAAATATCTTATACTTGGTTGTGATAGATCCGCTATATTATATTTACTACCTTCACTATTTTCATTTTTGTCTTTCTTTCGTTCTCTGATCTCCATTTATTTTTCATTTATGGGTGGAAACATAATTTTGGCCTTCACTAGGTAATGGTTGGATCTACATTCTGGGCCTCTGTGTGCCCTGACATATATTACTTTACCCGTTAAATACTGTCTAGTGATTACGTAATCGATCACTGATCTTCCTCTTACCTTATCTTCCCAAGTGAACATATATTTATCTTTATGCTGGAAATGGCCTTTCTAATTATAAGTTCATGCTGTTTACATAATTGAATTAATCTTCTTCCATTTGAATTTTCTACCTCTTCTCCATGCCGTCCAATGACTTTTGAGCTCTCAGATGTTCCCACTCTAGCATTAAAACCGCCCAATAAGATAAGTTCTCTATTTATCTCACATTCACTGATTACTCCGTCTATTTTTGAGTAAAATTCCTCTGAAAACTAGTATCTTCATTTTCATTTGGCGCATACACTCCAAGAATTGTAATTTTGTATCTAAAACTTTCCAAATTTACTTTAATCAGCCTCTCGTCTATGGCTTCCCAACTTTTAATATGCTTTCTGAATTTATTTTTTATGATTATGGAAATCCCTTTATTACCCCTCTGATCTTTTTCTACTACGCTCCAAATATGAACATAGGATTCAATCTCTTCACCCGAGCCCTTTTTCCTTGTCTCACTTAAACTTGCAATATCCATATTTAAATCTTGAAGTTCTTTAATTACCTCCTGTATCTTATTTCCCAAACCTTGAGTATTCCATGTTCCAATATTCATTATCCGTTTCCTTTGCCTAGTTTGTCTCCGGATACCGTCCGTTTCTCATGATTAGGCCTTTTAGCATTTCTTAGTTTTTACATGGCCGACGAGGAGCTGGCTCATCGTCTCAACCCCTACTAGGAGGATCAGGATTTTTTTAGGGTTTACTCCCCTAGGAGGATGGCTTCACCAAGCTTTTCAGCTCCTCTTGCCCAGATCTCTTTTGGAATCTTCTTGTTCCGTTGGCGAGATCATACCCGTACCCTTCATCCCTTGGTAGAAATGTAAGCTAGGATTTCTGCCTAACTTCGTCGTTTCGAGATCCCATTCAGCGCACTGTACCGGATGTTCTCTTCATGCACCCCCGTCCTCTTCTGGATAATAATAATAATAATAATAATAATAATAATAATAATAATAATAATTATAAATATGAATTCAGAATGATTTTTTAAAATAAGAAATCAAGAATAAGTCCTTGTATATTTCCCATCCCTTTGTAAAATATTGAATTTTG